AAATGCCCATGTTATGTGTAAAGAGAGCTAGAGGTATAATTGGCATGCCAAGAGTCGAGGGTTCTACGTGGTCCTTCGGGACATATATGTATTCTTTGGAACATTTACAGGGTCTTGTGAGACACATATGTGATCCATTGAAATATGTATATGATTATTAAGGAGTGGTCCTTCGGAACAAATACAGTACATAGGTCCTTCGGGACAAAAATTCATAGCCCCTAGTGTGACCCCATACGAGCTGTCGTGACAGCATAATGCATAATCTCAATAGACTCACATATCTACAGTTCTCACAGATGTATATGGGCTAACAAAAAGATAGCAATAAAAATATATTACATGTAAAGTATATGCTATTGGATATGAATTGTATTATATGATTGATATGATGATGTGTGTATGGTTTGAATGAGCCATATGTGATAAAAAGATATGATTAAAGGATATAAATGATAATAGTAAGGATAATAGAATAAGGTTAATGATGGAAAGGATGAATGATGTGTACATTTGATTAAATGAAATGATATATTATTTTGTGTGATAGCATGACATGATATGATAGGATATGTTCATGCATGATTAAGTAGTTAGAATTATTTTAATGTGTTTAATGCCTCACTAAGTCATAGACTTAGCGTGTGAGTGTTTCACACGTAGGTTCTGGAAAGCAAGAAGAGAAGTTTAGAGGAGCAAAACAGGTCAAATTCTCCTTTCCACAATTCAGATCAGATATAGGTTTAAATTATGTATTTTGTCATATAAAATGTAGTTGGCATGTAAGATAAAAGATTTGTACTGGAAACGATCTGATCAATTTGTAAAATCATATGTTTTTATATAATAGAAATTATTTGGGTTTTAGTGGAAATGTCTAACTGAATTTCATTGAATTTTGTCAAAGTAAAAGTTTTGAACGGTCAATGTGACACCTCGGACTCGTATTCGGGTCGAGTACGAGTTGAGGGTGTTACACAATGCATAAGAGTCCCTGACAAATTATCGATGCAATCAAGTAGTAAACATAAACTCAACTCAAGCCATAGCTCTGAAACCCTAACTACATTCCACCCAAACTATATTTTTCAAGACATGAAAGTGGATAAAAAACCTTAAACCTATATTGCTTCAACTCTTTATTTTTTTCTTCAACTATCCATGTGCAAGTGTTGGACATATTTTTAGACATAGATGATCATATCCTCCAAATACATGGGAGAAAAAAGAACTTACAAAAGTTAAAACATACCTGTATTCGACACAGACATGTATCTGACACAACACTCACATCCTAATCTGAGTAACATAGCCCTAAATTATAATAACTGTTGAAACAACTAGCCAATAGATAGGCACCATGAAACTAAAACCACACTTAGAACACAAGATTAAAGAAAAAGGAAATACTAAATCTGTAGTTGAGTTGAATTATCATAAGTCATAATCTTAGCCAGTATTCCTTCAACCTTTATATCCGATTTTAAGTTAGATGGGTCTAAATGAACTTGTGGGACTTGGTTGATTTAGCCTAGAAATTCTCTCCGAAACATAAGACGATAGGCTCATTATCTTACCGAAAGAACATATACTAGACCACAAGCAAGGAGCACATAGCTCGCTATGTTCTGAAGAAGTACAAGATCTCGTTAACTCGATGAATATTCAGGGAAAGCTCTCGTCATAACTGCAACACTGAGGCGAGTAACAACAAATTTAGAAATAATTTTTTTAAGTGCGATTATTCAACAAAAATTGTAAAATCAAGTATTATTGAAATCTAGAAATTTGGTATTACAGGGTAAAAAAAGAAAAAAAGGAAAAATCTTACTGCAAAATAACGCTAAAGCATCGACAGACCACCAGAAAAGGGTCGGGTCCCGACCTTACTCTGGCGCTCAGAGGCGGTCTCGGCAGCACAGGCTCGCTGCCCTCTGGATCTTCATTTTTCGACATTTTTGCGGTTCACCTATTTCCTTTGGATCTGATAAAATCCCTAATAAATCAAATTAGTGAAACATTCTTGGAATCTCTTGTTCCACGTCAAAGAAGAAGAAGATTTCAGCCAGAGAAAGCTATTTTAGACAACGGGACGGGAATAATAAAATACCTCAGAGAGACGGTGATAGATATTCCCGGGAAAACAGTAAAAAAATCACTGTTGGTATTACTTTTTAACTGGCACTTAGTAATCTGTTCCATCTAAATGTGGGTATATTCATCCTGGAAAAAAATATTCCTCCCAGGAATTAATTATACCTTGAACCAAACGGTGCCTAGATGTTTAACATTGTCAATGTTACTATTTTAGGTGTCTCGGTTCTAACAGAAATTAAAAAACCCGTTAAACGACAAGTGTCACAACCTGATAATTTTAAAAAAAATATTTAAAAAAATATAAAAACCCTAAAATCTTAAAATCTTTTATTCCAATTCTATTTACTCCAACCGTTAGTCATCTCCGGTCACCCATTCGTCGACGACTAGCCATTCATACGTTGTCGACCACCCAACGACCGTTCACAACTCTTACTATAATCTCAAAACTCTAAATTCTCAAATCTCTAAATTCATTTTCTAAACCCTAAAATCTCAAATACTCAATCATTTAAATTAAATCGTGATAATTGACCGTTTTGCCGACCGTTGTAGTTGACCATTTGATCGGCCGTTTAATCAATCGTTTAACCTTTAGCCGTTTGGCCATGGAAGGAGGGAGCAAAGGGAGGGGAGAAAGGGAACACACGTGAGTTAGCTAATAATATTCTTATTTTGGCTTAATATTAAAATAGTGTCCAAACTATACCAAAATTCTTGAATAACTGTTTAAATTATTTTTTATCAATTCATGTGTCTAACGTTAAGAAAAATAAAAATTCTAAAATTGTAATGTTATGAAACGTGTCACTTAACGAGTTTTTTTAATAACCGTTATGGCTGAGACACCTAAAGTGATAACGTCTGTAACGTTATGAACCTAAAATGATAATGTTTGTAATATTAGGCACTTTGATGGATAAAAAAATAGTTTAGGCACTTCGATGGATAAAAAAATAGTTTAGGCACTATTTTTTATAGTTTAAAGGTATGAGCGATCTTTTAAAATTTTAATTTTATACTGAAAGTCCTGGCAGGAGCTCCAAATAGTCATTCGGGTTTTTGAGTTGTTTGTGGGTATTAGTCTTTAGGGCAAATTACATGTTTGGTAACTGAATTTTACTTTCTTTTATTTCATTCAATATACTTTCAATTTTTTCAATTTGAACTTTATAGATTGTTTTTTTGCCACCACGTCGTTAAATAATTAAACAATGTTATGACGTGGCAACATACATCAAAACGACGTCCTTCCGAATTCCTTAAAAAAAATTAAATTTTAGATTATAACGACGTTTTAATTAAAATACAACCATATCATAACATCATTAATTATTTAATGGCAGAGTGACAAAAATTAATCTATAAATTCAGTGAGTAAACTAAAAAAACTGAAAGTATGTTGAGTGAATAAAAACGAGAATAAATTCAGTTACCAAACATGCAATTTACCCTATCTTTAACTAAAGATCATTAATTGTTTATCGACTAACTTGGTTGATGAATACTTTTGTGTGTTTTTAGTCTTTATGTCAACTTCGTGCTTTACATGAACATTTCAATATGATTTATATAAAATTTATGGAGCACAAGTTTATTATAAATTATTTTTTAATAATTTTATGGGTTAACTACACAAATGATCAATTATTTTTGTGTTTTGTCTACTTTTGGTCACTAATTTAAAAAATATAAGATATGATCACTTTCGTTTTATTTAATTAAGATGTGGTAACTCTGAGTTAATTGTCGTTAACAACAGTTAAATATTTTTGATATAATCACACATTTAGTCCATGTTATTATATAGTCTCTCAACTTAGTCATATTTTAATAAATTAAAATAAATATATATTTTTAAATGAAAATAAACTATTTTTGAAATTATATATATAATTATATTATATAATTTGGGTCACGTGTACCTGATTTATATTTTTTTATTTTTTAAATTATATTATATTTAAAAATTATATAAAAAAATTCTAAAATTTAAAAATTTAAAAGTCTGTAATATATATACTCTACACATAAATTTTAAAAATTCAAATTACATAATTGAAAATAAAATTTATTAAAAATTAAAATAAAGAAATACAATTAAATTTCAAATGTTTTGAAGTTAAAATAAATATTTTAAAAAATAATTTAGAATGTTAATATGAACTAATTTATGAAATTAAAAATTGATAACGTTATGGTGTTAAAATTTAAGAAATTAAGATTTTAGAACGTTATAGTGAAATAATTTGAGAATTATAATTAAAAAAATTAATATAATATATATATATAAAAATAGGGTACCGATTCGGCGAGTATCCGATTAACCAACATTTTGTGACCCATGCTCAACCTAGAAATCAGAAAAATAGAGGGCCGAGTACCTGACCCGAAAATCGGGTATTTAAAAATACTCAATATTTTAACTGGGTCGGTGGGTCGACAGGTCGGGTCAATCAGGTTGGGTATTTTTGAACACCCCTACGTGACATAATATGTGACATCATTCGATTGGAGGATTTAATTTATTTTAATTTATTAAAAGTATAACTAAATTAAGAGAATATGTAAATAACAAGAACCAAATGTGTGATTAAATAAAATAAAAGTGACCATATATAATGTTTTTTGAAATTAGTGACAAAATGAACAATTAACCCTAATTTTAATTTAATACTTCTGTAATGAATTTGCATATCATAAAGTTAATTTTAATAATGAAAAATCCATAAATGAAATAACTTATATATATATATTACTATTATATTTGATTTAATGATGCTAAAATCATACCAAAAGAAGCCTTTAAAAGTAGTGAAACAAAAAATTGAAACATATGAATAGCTGCATGTTGAAGCGAAAACAGCAAGGTTATTCAATGGACTTTTCAAGTCTGAGGGTGCTCACAGTAGTCTATGACTTGGAATTTGAAGCATGGAACAAGCAAAGAGCTAACATCAATAAATCTATGGAACTCGAATGTCGATCGAGTTATAAATTCATGAAATAAGTTTAGTAAATTGAATGAATATAATAACTCACTCGATTACTCGGATGAGTAACACATCAGGAGTTAATTTCCTTACATGCGTCTTGATTTTTGCGACGGAGCGTATCCGCTCATGCCCATTCCCGGATCCTTCCTTTTCAACTGTTGCTGCTGCTGAACTTGGGCGGCAAGATTCCGTTGCATCGGCATGCCTCCGGGATTCATTCCACCACCCACTCCAGCCTGAGATGCGTGATTATAAGCCATCATGCCCTGTTGCATTCTTTGTATCTGAGGAGGTGGCATAGGCCTATTCACGGATCCATTTCTCCCTAACATGCCGCCACCTACATTTCCGGATGGCATAGGTTGTGGTTGCTGAATGCTAGTTGTCCCTTCAAAATCGGTGTTCTGGTCCACCGGACGAGTAGGATAATTGATTATTTTCTCTCCAGGCTGGATGGGTACCAGTGCATTGCGACCTGGTAAAGGTTCGATCTGAAGTACTCATGCTCTAAGGCCTGCGCAGCCGTTATACGCTTTCGAGGATCATATTCAAGCATCTTAGATAAGAGGTCAAATGCAGGGCTCTTGGGAGAAAGATGAACAACACTATGAAGTCCGGTATTTTCATACTTGTGTGCTTGAATGTGCTGCAAATCTGATTGCCAATGTGGAAGATTTGCAAGTGTGGGCCACTTTTCCAAGGTAGGATGACCCAAAATTTTAAATATCTTGTCCAGCTGATCAAGTTGAAAAGGATTTGGTGTAGATTTGGCTTCTGCACCTTGAAAAAGTGGCTTTAAAGTCAAAAGCTCAGCAAAAATACAACCAACAGCCCACATATCAACTGCACTGGTATAGTGTTTTGCACCAAGAAGCAATTCAGGTGCTCGATACCAAATAGTTACAACCACGCCGTTGTCAGATAATGGCTTCAAGGGAGCTTGATAAATCCTCGCAAGTCCAAAATCAGCAATTTTGACAACCCCGTGTTCATCACCATCACCCATAACCAATATATTTGATGGCTTTAGATCTCGATGCATGATCCAGTTGCTGTGGAGATAGTTCAATCCGTTGAGCAGCTGCCAGAGCAATGACTTAACAGTGTATTGGTTCATAGCATGGTTAACCTTGTCCCTGTGGTGTCTGATGATTTCGTAGAGGTCATATTCAGCGTAATCAAAAGCCAGATACAACGACATATCTGCATGATTGATGTGCACGTTCACAAGCTTCACAACATTCTCATGCGTAATCTCCCGAAGCAACATGATTTCTCGGATGGCAGTGGGGGAGACACCATCCCCATCCTTGGACTGCTTGAACTTCTTTATGGCAATGCATTTCCCACGATTTGTCGGAGACTTGATTCTTGCAAGAAAAACAAGACCGTAGGTACCTTCACCAATTTTTCCGAGCAGATTGTACTGCTGCAGCCACTCTGGCTTACCACTGTTTCCGGATGAATTATTGTTGGCCACAATGCCTCTGCCCGAGCTGTTATGGCCATCTCCCATGATTCTGTGCTTTACAGCGCCGACTATCGACACCTATCTGAATTATAAAGTCTACTGCAAAAGGAAAATAAAGATTTATAAGCTCACAAGGCCATTAGGTGTTATTGCCACTCGTAAATGTAATCCCCTGAAATCCATATCAGCACACAACAATGTCAAGAACTCATCAACCACATATTTCTAATATCTAAATGATCTCTTCGAAAAGGGTAACCGGATTTTAGCCCCGTCCAGTTATCAAACAAATTCTTCATAACATCAAACAAAACTAACGAAGCTCAGTCATAATTAACAAACCTAATATACTAAATAAGAGAGCAAAACACAAAGTAAAAAAGAAAAGAAGAGATTATAACTAAATTCACAATGCTAGCTTCTATAAGTTCCAAAATTTGAAATTTCATATAAAATTATGACCGAAGCAAAGAAACGCCAAAAATACCTTCACACAATCTAAAAGCAAATCGACGAACAGATAAAGAAATCTAATACCTGATAAGTTCCTAAATAAGTCTCACGAGTTGCAAGCCGCTAGTTCGATCCAGAATCTCCCTATTGAGATCTAATACCAAAAAAAATATGTTGTGATATTCTATTATGAACACATTCGAATAAAACAACAGAAAATATAGAAGAAAAAGGAATCGGATTATCGAAATATAAACATCGGCTTTTACCTTTCAAGTAGGAGAAATTAGGGCGCCTGGAAATTACTTTTAAAAAAATTCAAGCAGATAACGCTGAAATCAGAAGATGATTTTAATTAAATTTTCGCCTGATTTTGCAATTGCCAAACAGGGAAATATCTCATCGAGGATCTAAGGGTCACCTACAAGAGTAGAGGAAGTGGCGGATTACTTTTATTCTTAAAAAAAAAAGTGGGGGATTTTACGTTCCTAGATTTTGAGGAACTTTATACATGTAATATGTCGGTTTCTGTGGGGTTATTTATGGGAGATTAATTTGTTTGAAACTATAAAACGACTCCTTTTCGTATATTAATTTTCACTCACTGAATTAAGTTGATAATATGCCAGTCTTTAATTTCTTGTTAACATACTCATAATCTCACATAGTAATAATATGTTGACAAGTGGCAACTCCGAATTGGAGTGCTAATTTTTTTGAATTAAATTAAAATCAGGACTAAAATGATAAAATGTATAAGTATTGAGGACCGAAAATAAAATTGTGCCAATTATATTAACTAACACGTCATTATAACCACTTAAAATTAACGGAAACCACTTAAAATTAACGGAAAATGACTTGAATGAACCATTTAAATAGTTGAATGATTTGTTTAATCAAAATGGAATATCGGTGACTAAAATAATTTTTAGCCATAATTTAGTGATCACCCGTGTAATTTACCCTAATTAATAAAACGAACATCAAGAAAATTATTCACTCAAATACATGCTTTGAGCTATGAATAGAAAGGAATGAAAAGATCAAGATGAAATTTATTCACTCAAATGAACATTCTTCTTTCCAAATTTCAATAGCACATCACAGTCATCCAATAACACAAATAACAATAATAAAAAGGTTAAGAAAAATACGAGATCTTAAAGCTTCAAAAACAGGAAAGCTCAAGAAAATTCCTTCTAACACTATATATGATCTTCCATGATACAGAATATGTCGAAAATACGACCTGCGAAATAATGTCTTCAAATTCTGAATCCCCATTTTTTCGTCCCCTCTTTCTTTGCCGTCCTCTTCGAGTTCGGATCTATGAGATTTTCCAGTGATTTTGCTTTTCGGTTGCGAGACCTGCCTGCTTCTTTTAGGAGCTCAGCCAGCCTGTTCTTCTCATCTTCGAAATCCGGATTTGCAATTCCGAGTTTTTCTTCTCTTAATTTTAGTACATACTCCAATATCTCGATTGCATCTTCAACCCTGATTTTTATACCAGATGAGCAATTGAATTATTGATCTAAACATGATAAAATGTAAAATATCATAAAGGCGTATCAAAACCGACACATGAGAGAACTAAAATCTATCATAAGCTTAAAGGTTGACTGGAATTTGTGGATGGTGATTTAAAATATCAGTTACCTTCCCATAGCATCATAAGTTGCTGCAAGATTGCTATATACTCCCAGAGTATCTTGATGACATGGCCCACATTCCTGCTCAAGTATTGCTCTTGCCTCTTCGAACAACTCACCAGCCTCGTCTATCTTGAATAATTGAACACAAGCCAAGCCCATCTGGTTCAACACGACTCCAAAGAAGGCTGACTTCCTCTCCCCGCTTGCTCTGAGCTTGGACACTGCACTATCGAAAGATTTCCTTGCTTCCTCATACCTCCCAAGAATGTAAAGCATCACCCCCATCCGTGCTTCGATTCCTGCAATGGTGCTTTGCTGTCCAGGTTTGTCCTCCAACAACTTCATTGCTTTCTGCAAGAGCTTCAACGCTTCCTCAGGCTCATCCACCGATTCATATATGGCTGAAATTTCAGTTAACCCACCAGCTATCTCTTCTGCTGTGGTTCCCGGCAAGGGTTTTGAAAAGATCCTCAAGGCATTTTCGCAATATGATTTTGATTCTCGGAGCTTTCCAGTCCTGTGATATAGATCAGCAAGTCGTACAAAGACGGAGGCAACTTGAGGGTGGTTGTCACCCTTGGATGATTTGAACACTGTTAGGGCCTTCTGGTACGAGAAGACGGCCTCATCAAAGCGACACAAAGACATGTAAATATTGCCAATGCTGACATCAATAGCAGCTACTTCATTCTCCTGTCCATTGGCAATCATTGCCATGCTGGCTAGGACAAGTTGCTCGAGGGCCGCTTCATAATCTCCCTTAGCCTCGCATACGAGTGCCATCAACCTGCGGTCGGCCGCCTCTTCGAGTGATGCTGGTTCACTGTGGGCGTGATGTATTTCCAGGGTCTTCTTGCACAATTCTTCAGCTTTATCGAACTGCATTGCTTGAACATGGGCCTCGGCCAAGTACCTATCATTTTTCATTAATCACGAACAAAAACTCAAACTCAAAACAAATTAAAGCACAAACACAATCAACCAAACTACAGAAAATCCGGAAAAAGAACAAATCTAACACCAACATCTCTGCAATGAAAATAAGTAAATCCAAACTAGTACTAAACCTTCAATAACATCCCTGCTTTTAAAGTTAAAACCCATAATCCAGCGATTAATTACAGTGACAATAACCATATAATACTAAGAAGAACCGCGAAAGAAGCAAACAGCTTGCAACTTGCTACATGGTTTTAAGTTCATCAGTTCATCATACATATATGAATCCCAAAAAGTATATATTCAGCGCCTTAACGATTTAACACAAACACACAAAAGATCTCAAATATCCAATTAAATCTTAACAATTATAAATAATTGAAAAGAGAAAGTAATATAAACCTGCAAGTTTCGCCAACTCTAGCGTCGGTCTCACCCAGAGCCTGGATCTGAATCTTTAACCCTTCTTCATAGCACCCAATTGACTTCTCCACTTGCCCCAGCATCGAGTACGTATCCCCCAGCTGCATATGTCCCGAAAAAGCAGCCAACGCGTGATCCGGGCCCGTTTCCACGTCGGGCACTTGAATCGCCCGCTCCAGAACCGGAACCGCCTCATCGAACCTCCCCAAGCTGCAATAAATCGCCGCCAGCACGTGCAAGCTCATCGCCAGATCCAAACTTGGCTCGCCTTCCACGGCGCATCTCTCGAACGACTTCGCCGCTCGAATCGCATAGTCCAAAGCTTTACTGGGACCCTCACCGGAAGCGATGGTATCACGGGCCAATTTGAGCAAAAAGGGGCCGAGATCCGGGTTATCGAGCGAGGAATCGTCCGGATTGGGTGAGTCGGGCGGAGGTTTCTTGGCGGAGCGGGCGGGGGAAGCCTTGGATCGGGAAGGGGAAGGCGACGGAGGCTTTTTGTTCGGCGTCCGAGGTGGATTCTGAGAAGGCGGCTCCGACACCGTAATCCGTAGCGGAGGAGCGTCGGGTGGAGATTTGAGACCCGGCATTACTGGATCAAGAAAAAAAAACTTAAATTGGAAATGCAATTTTCTTAAAGAAAATTTTGAATTGGGAGATGAAAGAACACTTGGATGATTTGATAAAGGAGAGAAATGAATTAAAATTTAAAATTTAAAAATATTATATTAAGATTAGAACAAGCCACCAGTCCCGTGAGTGGAAGGTTTGATTTGAGGTCAGTGGTGAGATTATTGGTTTACTTAACGCCGGGACAAAACAGTAAATTGAGATAAAGTAACTTTAAGTACTGGACGGGCGATTTAATATACTTTTCTAACCTATATTTTGACTTTGCGTCCATGCTAACATCATTCTCGGATAAAATTGTGGTGAAAATAATAATTAATTATTTTTTCAAATATACTGAAATAAACAATATTAACTCTAAAGAAAGATGTAATGATTACCGTGGTGACTGATACATGTATACTCTATACTGGGTCCGTGCCCATATCTCATATAAAAAATATTATCAATGTATATGTGTCCAAATATGTTTATGGACCGTCACTGGATCACCATGTATCTTTTATATAGATCTATCGATATAGTGTTGGGGTAGTATACTATCCAAATATTAGAGTTGTCCGTCTAGCTCAGTTGGTAGAGCACAAGGCTCTTAACTTTATGGTTTTATATCTCATTCCCATCCCCACGTGCATTATTCTTCCCATGATTTTCTTATTTTCCTGCAAACATCATGCTATCAAACATAACAAAGCTGGTCCCCACGTGCATTATTCTTTCCATGAATTTCTTATTTTGCTGCAAACTTCTTGCTACCAAACATAACAAAGCTGGTACCCACGTTGAAGACACAAAGACGCCAAGAGCTCCAAATGCACATCTGCTGAAGACGTCGAGATATCCAAGTTGAAGACGCCGAGAGCTCCATCAAAGCTGAAGACGCAGAGCTTTGCATGTTTCCTATAGCAATCACCCTATTATGGGAAATAATAAGCTGATGATACTATCTTGGGAATTAAAGATTCCCATACGCAATATTTAGGCAGTTTTATCGCATTTAGTGATCGCGTCTTTTAGAAGATACATTATATTTCCGATGATTTTTTATGACACTGTAACAATAATCCAATCTAAAAAATAATAATTTTACCATAAACTTATAAGAGCTAATCGTTTTTTTCAACACTCCAACAATTTTGCCATTATTCTCGAGTGAGGTTAATATCTCTTTACATTAAATAGTTAACCTCAATTAAGGATAAAAAATTTATAAAATAATAGTAAACACATTTGGTTGGATGATCAAGTTATTTATCTTTATTATTTTGATATAATACAACAAAATACCTCTAACGTTTGGTGATATTGTTAAATTTACCCTTATTATCTTTTTTTAAAATTTTGACCCTTTAACATTTCATTTTAGGTCAAAAAATACTTTCGTTGGATGAAAATCGCTAATCAACTAACTGTCAACACATGGAGATGACATGACAAACTTACATAACATTGCACTTTGACGTAATAGTGTCACATATGTAAATCGTTGGATGAATGTCACGTCATTATTTTTTTAAATAATTTTGAACCAATACAATGATGACACGTGTCATCATTTCATGGGCTTAATTATGAAATTGCAAATTTTGCTTTTGGTGGGTATCAAACCCAGGTTACAAAGGTTAAAACCTTTTTCATGCTTCCACAAGGCCAAGTCTTGGAACTTAGTTATCCCTTACTAAATTTAATATTTATTTAATGTATTGTGTCTCCCACACATTTCTTCAAACACATTCTTCTTGTAGTTTCCTCAACATTCCCTAACTGAGCATAACCAGAAATCAAAGAATTCCATGAATTTTTATCTCGTTGGTTCATAAATTCAAACAACGCTCTTGCCTCCTCAATGCTCCCACATTTTATATATGCATTCAACAACGAATTCCCCAAAGTTATATCCGATTCAAAGCCATGTAAAACCACACAGCCATGCAAAGCCTGCACGTAACCAAACTGCAGTACTCCAGAGAGCAAGCTCAAGAAAGTAACCGGACTAGGCTCAACCCCACCGCATCGCATTTCATTATACATGAAATGCATTGTCCAGGTCGTCACCACGACAATAGCATCCAATAACGGCAGTCGTTGGGAGTTGGGACTAGAAAGTAACCGGACTATTGCTTTTACGAAGAATAAATAGCCTTACCGGGAATTGCTTTGAGATCATAATCTGAGCAAGAAGCTTCCTCAAAGATTTTTTCCCCACTTCTTTGATGTTTTCCGTTGCCGTTCTAAAAAAAACTGAATATTCTATTCATACTTATTGATGAAATGGGTTGAAAATTACATTGAAGAAGAAGGTGTTTGATGAAATGTGTGAGAGGCACAAAATCTTACTAAGGATAAACCAAGTTTCAAACTTGGCCTGGTGGTAGCGTGAAAAGGTTTTAACCTTTGTAACTTGGGTTTGATACCCACCAAAAACAAATTTTGCAATTTCAAATTTAGGCCAATGAAATGATGACATGTGTCATTATTGTATTGATTGAAAATTATTAAAAAAAATAATATAATTACTTAAAAGAATTTATTTTTTTGTTGACATGGCATTTGCCACGTCATCACCTTTGTACATGTGATACTGCCACATCAACGTGCGATGTTATATAAGTTTACCATGTCATCTTCATGTGTTGACCATTACTTGATTAATGGTTTTCATCCAACAATGATGTTTTTGATTCAAAATGAAATGTTAAGGGGTCAAATGTTAAAAAAACATTAAGGGTAAATTTGACAATCTTGTCAAACGTTATGGGTATTTTGTTGCATTAGGCCTATTATTTTATATTCTCTTAGATTATAGATTCTAAACATTCTATGGGCATTCTCTTTCTTCCTTTTAGAGTCTCAGTCTCTATTTTTCCTTTCCCTCTAGGGAGGATTATGATGATTAAGGATTTGCCAAAAAATTATAAAATATGTACGAATCAAGTGACCTTAATGATTAAAATATTTGTTATTATCTCTTAAGGTCCAAAGTTCGAGTATCATATATTCCATAGGTATGAACATTCATTCTCAAATTGAGTATTTAAACAAATATTATCTTCTATTTATCCCAGATTTAGAATTTGTCAAAAAAATTATAAAATTTATAATTTGTAAAATTTATAATTAATATTATGAATATAATAAAAAATACAGTATAATAATATTATAAAAGAATTATGTATTTGAGTATAATATAGACTTAGATTTTTGGTGTCTTTTATTTTTAATAAAATAATACATTTATTATTATTTAATTTTAAAAGAAGTTGAAAGGTTTTAAACTAAATTTATTAAGTTTATGATATTTTTGATAAAACAAACATCAAATTTGCGTTAAGGATGTCAAAAAGGAGTGAATAGAAAGCTTTAGAGTCTAACAGTGGGCGATGGAGGTGGTCAATCCCGAATAACATCGATGGTGGTGGTGAGTGATAGTGATGCGAGACTTTAGTTAAATTCAGAGATCAAATTGATATTTTATCTAAAATTTAAGGATCAAATTAGTATTTTATTTAAAGTTCAAAAATCAAATTAAAAATTAACCCCTTACGACTAATGTGTATTGTCATCAAATTAGTATGGGTTAAAAGTTCAATAATTAAAATTTAACAAATTGATAGAGTAAATGACTAAAATTTAATAAATCGATAACATAAATAATCAAAAAAAAAATTACTTTACTGAATAAACATGTATAAATATAAAAGTAAAGTGGGTTAATTACTGGATTGACCACTCTACTGAATAATACAATTTAAATAATCATATCCTATGCCAAATAAAAGACCATATAGCTGGAAATATATATTGCCAGCGATTGAATGGAATATGCTAGCCACTTTGGATTCTGAAATCCTTTCTTTCCAGATATGCTTCCTAGTTGCTGTAGTGGTTGAAATTCGCCATTGGAATACGTTTTATTTACACTTCATTTGCCACCTCCGATCGATGTTGTTCCGGGTTGATGTTTCGAATTCGGGGTGACCGAATTACAGTCCCTTTGGACATCAACATCTACTTTCAGTAATTTCCTTGTCTGCACTTGAATCATGCCCTTAAAATCATCTGCTGTATATGTTTACAAAAGTTATGATACTCTTCCAACGACATACTCACATAGGATATATATTAATATCCCACATTGATTTATAGCGACACTAATAGTGTTGTACTTGGTTATCTATAATTACTTTTTTATATCATCGTGGAGACAGAAAATATCGACACTGGTTACAGTTTTATGCCTAAATTAAAAGGAGTGAATCGCCTACAATCGTCACAACTCATTTCCTCTCATTGACAAATAGAATGGTGTGTATGATCATAATAAGTGAAGCAATTGAATGGTAGGTTGCACTCAATATTCCTTGTGGTTCTAGACTTGGAATTATTATTATTGAAGGAGTCTTAACCTAACATCACATCTAATAAAATCAGTCAAATAATATGATGGAATATTTTTTGTCACGTAGGGTTCGTGAAAAATTATTTTCGTAGAATGTGATTATTACAATACACATCATAAGATGTCCGGACGATACAACGCCTTTGATAAGACTGTAGCGTTATAAGGGCATGCATGCAGCTAGGGAAATTTACGTTACCATCCAGGCATCTTCTCGAAATCGTCGTATCATCCGAGCATCCTCCGATATATACCGTAACAATCACACTACCCGAAAATAATTCCCCTCACAGGGCACATGGTATCCCAAAGTGAAAGCAAAATCATTTGTGGAAAGGGTCCGTCCATCCATAATAGAGGGAATTGCCTCCAAAAGTGAGAATGATGATTGTTTGTGGTGGGCAAGTGGTAATATAAACAGTAAGTCTCATCATTTTCTTACTCACCTTCCAGGTCCCTATCTTCTTAACCAAACAATTATTTTTTTTCATGTTCACAATGATTAGGTCATGTTTGGCGTCGTGTCTTTGTTCAGTTTTTATTAATGGAGTTTTCAGTTTTATCATGGAATGTGAGAGGATTGGGGAAAGGAGAAAAATAGAGAGCCACAGGTAATTTGGTCAGATCCAGTAGATCGAAAATGGTATTCGTACAAGAAACTAAATTGGC